CTGAATCAAAAGGTAACCAAAGGTTGACTTTGTTAACTAATAGGTGGGTCAAACCGACGGTTCCCTACTTTGTCCGTGGTTTTCGCAACCTATAAACATCCATAGAAAGTGGGAACCGCAAGCAAAGTTTCGGGATAAGGAACCGTAGGTTACGACGTACTTCAGTAGGGCGATTCATAGGAATTAGTTAATTAGTTCAAAAGTTGTTGTACAACATAATGCCGTTCGCTACTTAAATAGTAGTACTTTAGATTTAGTGGCTTTTTGTAATCTGAAAAAGGTGAGCATGCCGGTCGCCCGGTCGCCTTTGCTATTAGGAGTTGTCCAACAGAATGCTGTTCGCCCTAATGTTGGACAACTCCTAATAGCGAAACATCGGACTCAACTGGCGGATAAACGCCTACTAGTTTCCAAAGTCAACCTTATTGTATTGGTCTTTGCCTTTGGAGCTCAAGTAGCCCGTTGATCACTCTTTATAATAGAGTGTTGCCTTATAACCGGTTAATTAATTACCAAACAGTACTAACTAAAAACAACTACATCTCTGTTCAGTTCCTACAAACTCAAATAAAGTCAACTACAGCTTTAAGGGCCACTATAGAAGCTATCAATCAGTGGACTGACAGTTCATAAACTCCAACTACACTCTTGATTCATCAAACTACACCCCCTACAACTCAAACTTTCAGTGAACAACTCAGTTTAGTGGCTTTTGTTTCTTTATGACACCCAGTGAACTATAAAAAAGTCAAAGTGGCTTGGGCAAAGAAAGGCAAGGCTTTCAGTGAACAACTCAGTTTGGTTTTTTCAAGCTTCCGACAGAGCCACTATAGAAGCGAACAGTGGGCCCAAAGGCCTCTTTGGTTGAAAGGCTACCGACGATCTAAAGGCTTTCGCCCTCTCCTTAGGCTCTCGATAAACATGCGGGCTGCTGTTCGCCTAACTTAACTGAGTAGCGCCTACTGTTGTAGTGAACGCGAAGCCAGCGAGATAAGTACTACAGCACTGAGCGAGCCTTTGGGGGGAAGCAAAGCCAAAGCTTCGTATACTAAATTGAAATGGCTTCGCTCTTTGGCTCGCTTTTTGGCTCGCTCCGTACTTACGCACTTCTCTCGTTCAGTGCTACACTTCGCTTCCTCCCTTCTGGCTTTGCTTCTAC